TCTCAGTCAATACTTGAGACCACAGTTTACTCAAGCATCCTCTTAAATAGCTTTCCAAAAGTGGAGGGACTGGCCGAAGACATTTATTATCATGTATGTATGTATGGATGACTAGGAAACACTTCATTTAACCCTAGAGATGGTCCGAGAATGCATGTACACAAGCCTTCATACATTCCATAATGGAACGGAATGTCTCACCAGTCTTCAGGCATGTCCCACTAACCCTCATGATGAGCATGTGGCTTAGGTCTATTGTTACACAAACTAGAAGCCATTCTCCACTGTGGCCAGGCCATCTGGAGGTAAACAGCTGATATCCAAAAACATTAGGAGATTTGAGCTCCTGGAATTGAACTGAGGCCTACATCAGAAATATCATATTCGGGGGCCCGATAGTCAAAGAAAAAGGTTTAAAGTTAAAAGCACATTGCTGGGCATGGTGGTACACACCTTTTAAATCTCTGAGTTTGAGGTCAGTCTGGTCTACAGATCTAGTTCCAGGACAAGACAGAACCCTGCCTTGAAAATCCCCTATACCTCGCCCCCCCAAAAAAGAAAGGAAGGAGTGAAGGAAGAAAGAAAGAGGGAAAGAGAAAGATTTAAATACATGTTTCTATCCAAAATGGAATGAAGCCTTGTCAAGGTTTTATGCCAGTTGAGCACTGATGAGAGAACTGGGGGGAGGCAAAGATGGCCCTGTAGCATTTGCAAGAATGTCAGAGTGGTACTGCTAGATTAGGCAGCGAGTGAATTAATGTCTCACAGGGCAACACACTCACAGATCATCTTTCCTGTTAAGTGCAATCACTCTCTCTCTCCACACACACAAAATCTGTAAGCTGACCCATAGCTTCCCAGTTTGTTATTAAAAGAGTGTGGGCTTGGTCTGCTAAATAATGCATCATCACTACAAGGAAAAAACATAATGTTTTTTTGCCTTATTATTTCTGTGTTAAAGATTATTAGCAATTAAAAGAGTTCCCATTTTTCTAATCAAAACTCTTCACACGAACCTTGAGTGACTAGGTTAGAGATTCAGGAAGCAGAGAGATGGAAGCTGGTACCTTACTGCTTTATCTTTTTCCTTCATCCTGAGATGGCAGCCCACATACACTAAACATGAGGTTTCACCTTTGTTAAGTCTCCCTTGAAACACCCTCATAGATACATCCAGAAGGTTATCTCCTAGGTAATTTAAAAACTTATAAAGCTGACAATCATTTAACAGACATTTCCAGAACCTGAGTTTTCTCAGACATAGTGTTCCTGAAACCTTGTATAGGTTTTCAGTCACTTTGCAAAGAGGATATAGAGATTCTACTATATATAAATATTGTGTAAAAGTATAAATAAAAATATTGTGGAAAAGTGTGCAGTTATGTAGATGTTAAAAATGTAGTCCAAAACACTAATAATTATGTGATCCATACCCCCCCACCCAGAGTAGCAAAAGGGAGATGGATTACAAAAGTAGATATAATCCCAGCACTCTGGAGGTAGAGGCTGGTGAATCTTGAATTGAAGTCCATTCTGGTGTACAATGTGAGCTTCAGGCCAGCCAGGGCTACATAATGAGAGCTTGTCTTTTGAGATAAATGTAATCGTCCAACAGATGGCCAAGAAAGTTAAAAAGAACACAGAACAGGATGTCAGAAATAATTTTGATTATATAATTCACAATAAATACAGAAAGATTTATTCTCCCACTAAAAGACCTGCTGTAGTGTATATGTCTTTAATCCCAGCACTCAGGAGGCAGAGGCAGGTGGACCCTTGTGAGTTCAAGACCAGCATGGTCTACTTATCAAGTTTCAGGTCAGCAAGAGCTAATTAGAAAGACTGACGCAAAAAGAAAAAACTCAAAACAACACAAAACAAACCAAGCAAAAATAAACCAATAACCAATAGATAATCATGTTGAATGGAAAGAGACTAGGAAGATGAATGGAACAAGGAAGTCCTTCTATAAACATTTGAAAGAGACAAACACTAAACCAAAAGAAGAAAATAAGACATAAGAATAAGAGACTGTAAGGGAAGTATTAATAATGACAAATGAGTGACTTAAATTGTCCTGTTGTGAACTAATGAGGATTTTAAAAGAAAACCTCAAAATAAAAATGGTAATGCTGGAAGATGTTGATATATCTAATAAAAACGATAAAAACAATGTCTTGAACCCAACAAATGGAAACCATGTGTTATTTCCAACACATTGATTCAGTTTTTGTTTTGTTTTGTTTTACAATGACTACCTGCTTTGTCACAGGAAAAGTCAAGACAGTTCCAGGTTTTAATATTGTCTTTGTCCAGGAAACATTTAAACAAATAATGAATAACAATTGTTAAAATAGCACAACTTTTAACTGGAAAGATAAAAAGAATGCTCTAAAATATAACTTACCAGTTAACATATTGCAATGACATGAAATATTTCAAAACAAAACATTGCTTAGGGCAAAATGGTACTTACAGAATTGTATACCTGTTGGGGAAGTCCTGTGTATATGTCAATAAAGCACTGTTGGCCAATAGGGAAGCAAGATAGGTGGGACTAGGAGTCAAGGAGGACTCTGGGTAGGAGAAACACAGGGAGTCATCATGTAGCCCGCCAGAGAAATAAGAGGTCCGAATGGTAAGAGAAATACTTAGATTAACAATTATGGGATAAATACTTAGGTCAGAGCTAGCCAGTAAGAAACAAGCAAGGCCAACAGCTTCATAATTAATATAGCCTCCTGTGTGTTATTTGGGGACTACAATGCGGCAGAGCCCAGGCAACTGGCAGAAAAGAAAAAGGCTTCTCTTTACATATACCCTTTGATGTAATTGCTCTTTACAAAGGAGATATATTGTAACAAGGTGTAGTACTACAGTCCTGTTGTCTCAGCAATCTGGAAGACAGAGGCAGGAAGATCAGGAGTTTAAGGATAGTCAACCTGAGTTACTAGAGACATCATCTCAAATAAAACAAAGATGGGAGGGAGAGGTTTGAAAGCAGACAAGCTAAATTGCTGGTGCTATTTAACTAGTAAAACAATTACAGAGTAGCAAAGCTAAACAAAATACAGGAAGAATTCAAAGTCCACCAACTACATTTTAATGTTTATATACTTCCTTTGTAGGAAAAATACAAAACAAAAAATATTTAAAAGATAACAATGTATCATACCCTAAATAAATAAGTTGTAATAAAAATGAGACATGTCATACTAATACAGCCAGATCATAATTTGAGAGCAAAATGAACAAATTTATTCTCTAAAAAATCATAAATACTGAAACCTTTTTTTAGGAAAAAATATAGTAAAGGTGCTTTAAGAAGAAACAAAACCATGAAATCTCCCTTTTATCTCCCCCTTCCTCTTCTCAGAGACTACTGCCCCCCAAGAAAGCTAGATCCATATTGTTAAAGGAAAGTTTTACCAAGCACTTCCAACTCATGTGGTGTACTGGAGGTTGTGTGTCAACTTGACACAAGCTAGAGTCAACAGAGGAAGGAGCCACAATTGAAAATGCTTCCATGAGATTCCGTTCAGACATTTTCTCATTTAGTGATCAATGAGGGAATGCCCAGCCCATGATGGTTGGTGCCATCCCTGGGCTGTTGATCCTGGGTTCTATAAGAACCATGGGAAGCAAGCCGCAGCTTCTTTCTGTGGCCTCTGTATCAGCTCTAACCTTGGGGATCCTGCCTGTTTGAGTTTCTGTCCTGACTTCCTTCATATGTAAACAGCAATGCTGAAGTGTAAGTCAAATGAACCCTTTCCTCCCCAACTCTTTTTTTTTTTTTTTTTTTTTTTTGGTCATGGTGCTTCGTTGCAGCAATAGAAACTCTAACAATGACACGTGACTACCTGACTCACTACCTCCAAACTTACCATATTCAACTATCTTGAGTATCCCTTTTAAAAAATAATTTGGTAGGTGACCAGTAAAGGGTAGTTACCAATAAACAATAGATATCATAATTAATGGGAAAATGTAGAAGGATGACAAGGATACTGGCAAGACAAGGGGACGTCCTAGCCATAAGTTATACTCTGCATTATATCTGGGGGGAGTAGTTAGTTTTAACTATCAAAAGCTAGCCTCAACTGGGAAGAGAGTCTCAGTGAGCAGCAGTCTCTGGGGGACTTTTTAAACTGAGTTGATTGAGTTAGGAAGATTCACCCTAAATATGGGTGTGACCATTTGATGGGCTGGGCCCTGGACTGAATGAAAGAAAAGGAGAGAGTTAGCTGAACCCTGGCATTCATTCATTCATTCATTCATTCATTCATTCCCCTCCATTCTTAATGGTGGCTATCATGTTACTAGTTGCTAAAGTTCCTCGTGCCTTGACATCCCAGCAACAATGAACTTAACTGGAACTGTGAGCCAAATAAACTCTTTCTCCCCTAAGTTGCTTCTGTCATGGTATTTTATCACACCAACAGAAAACAAAGGCAAGCTGAGTGATGGTGGTTTAGATCAGTGGTCCCTCACCCTTCCTAATGCTGAGACCCTTTTAATATAGCTCTTCATGTTGTGGTGACCCCCAACCATATGGCTATTTCGATGCTACTTCACAACTGTCATTTTGCTGTTGTTATGAAACTGTAATGCAAACATCTGATATGTGACCCTTGTGAAAGGGCCCTTCAACCCTTGAAGGGTCGGGACTCACAGGTTCAGAATGCCTTGCTTAGTTACTTAGAACAGTAAGCAACTGTTAAAAACAAAACAGGATTAGGAGTAGGGGCATGAGGGGACTAACACCGGTGATCTGTCTCCACACCTCTCCAGTCAAACGCCATTGGCAGACCTTGGCAACCGTTGACCCCCTGCCCTGCCTCTTGTCAGGGGGGCCTTGAGGACACTTCTCTAGTAACCTAAATCAGGTCAACGGAGGAGGGGAACAGATGCCTCCCGGCCAGCCCTCTCCTCCGAAGGTTGTAGAACTCAGAGTGCCCCTGCGTTCCCCTGCTTCGTGCAAAGGGGTGAACCCCGCGGGACGCGGCGTGGAGCTCCCGGCCCCTCCCGTGAATCCCGGTGGCCGCCCGCGCCGCACCCACTTCCTCTTTCCCTTCCGCGCGCCAGCCAACCGCTCGCCCAAAAATTCCTGTCACTTCTAACAGGAAGCTGGGAGGCCGCGCGGGAGCGACCAGCCGCGCATCTCCGTCCGCAGCGCCCCTGGACGCGGTGGGCCGCAGGGTCCCGCCTGGCCCTGGGCCTGGGCCTCAGTTCCGCCCCGCTGGGTCCTCCATCCCGATCGGCCTGGTCCTCAGTCCCCGCCTCGGCCCCGGTCAGCCCGGTCCTCCCTCCCCGCCGGGCCCGGGCCTCGGCCCCCTCCCAGCCGACCGGTCCTCCGGCGCCGTGGCGGCCGGGTCCCCAGCCGTGAGTCCGCCATGGAGGTGGAGGAGGCGTTCCAGGCGGTGGGCGAGATGGGCCTCTACCAGATGTACTTATGCTTCCTGCTGGCCGTGCTGCTGCAGGTGAGTCCCCGGCCCCCCACGGCCCACCGCGCTCTCAGCTCGGGCCCCAGGTTTGGCGTGGAACCGGGCAGCAGGAGGGGTCGGGCGCCGCGCGGTGGCGGGTCAGCCACTGAGCTTTCCCAGGCTGTCACCAGGAGCCTGGCACTGACACTTAAGCGCCAGAGCTAGTTGAGGGATGAAAACCATTACCTGAAAAACAATTGAAAGGGAGTAGGTACTCTAACCCGTGGCTCTGTCACCTTGTAGTCTAAGACAGAGGCGGTGCAGATCCACAAAAGATCGCTTATGGGAGGCCCTCTCTGAGCTCCAGGGGACTTCCTATTAAGGTGGCTTTCCACGCGCGGGATCTGTTTCTCTGTGGTTTAAAGTTCTACTGGGTTATTCAGCACTGAGGCCAGCTTTGGACTGATGGTACAGGGAAAAATAATACCACCTACATTGTGTGGTTCATTGTATAGAATTGTCAGACCCCATTTGCATACCTCAACCTAAAACTCTTGATTCTATGGGGCCCTAGAGGCTCACTCTTGTAATCACAGCACTAAGGAAACTGAGGCAGGAGAGGGCTGCCTCTCCTTTCAAGCATATTCAAGGCCAGACTGAGCTACTTAGTCCCTGGGATGCAGGTCAGTGGTAAAGACCTAATGCGTGCAAGGCTCTGGGTTTGATTCGCTACAGCCAGGGCCGGAAGGTGAAGCTAGCTCCCTGCCCTGGAAGCTTGCATCCCTGGGATGAAGTTGGATGTGATGAGACAGGCTGACAGCTACGCCAGTAGTTAAGGTGTGCTGGTGTTATTCCGAGGGAAGTACTGGCTGGACATGGATATCAACAGAACCGACAAGCTGCTTCAAGTTGCAATGCTGCTGCTGCAGGAAGTAGGGAAGTGATGTAAAAGTTGACTTATCCGATTCTCTTTTCCCATTAAAACTTCAAAAATTCAGTTGATTTCACCACCAGCCAGAAAAGTGGTTCTAGTGATGGACGGATGATATATGGAAAATCTTCTCTTAGCCGAATAAAAATTAGTTAATGCAGAGAACTAGAATTGTAACTGTGATGTCTGATCTTTGTATAATGGTGTCTTTGACTGTCTGTCTAACCAGGAATTCCAAGTATACACTCTGCCTCCCGGCAATCCTTTCCGTTACCTCTCTATTCACTATCCATTTCCTGTGCTAGTATCGTCTTACTTGCTTAGACAGGTGTCCACCAACTTAGAATGAAATTTTCTTGACTGTAGTACTGAAAAGACAGTGCTCTGAGTCAGGACCTGTTAACTTTCCTGTTCTTTTTACTTACCACTGTCAGCTAGAGATCCAACCCCAGAGCCTTGAGCTTTATATACAAGAGCTTTACTGCTGATGTACAGCCCCCAGTACTCCCATACTTTTATTAAGGATCGACCTAGTTCATTGGAGTTTGTTGAGGAAGAGTTCCAAGCCCATGATCTTGATTTCTCACTAACCCTTGATTGGCATCTAGTCAGTATTTGTCAGGTTTTAGAGTGCTATTAGCAGTGAGTGATAGTGTGTCTTGTAGGTGTGGATTGCCTCTATCCCCATGTCCTTTCATCCACTGAGATAACAGCTGGTTCATCTGAAGTTCCTGCTATAAGCAAGTGATGAGGGTCATACCATAAGCACTACTGAAGACCTTACTGTATCATAGTCTAAGCCCAGCCCACAGCAACACAGAGGTTCAGCCATGAGGAGAATCTGTTCATATCTAGATGGGTCAGCCATGAAGAGAACCTATTTGTATTTAGTAATAGCTTTCTAATGGTGATTCCAAAACATAATGGCTTGCTGCCAGGGTTCTCTCTGAGTTGGAGTAAGTTTTATGCTGCTCCCGGGCTTAGAGCTTGATTGAGCCTTGTATTAGTCTGAGTTCTCTAGAGGAACAGAACTTATAGAATGAATATACATACTTATATGTATATACGAATATACATACATACATACATACATACGGCTTACAGGTTGTGGTCCAGCTAGTTCAACAATGGCTGTCTACAAATGTAAGGTCCAAGAATCTAGCAGTTGGTCATCAGAATCTCAAAGAAATAGACTCTAATGCCAGTGAAGGAATGAGTTTACCAGCAAAAGCAAGGGCAAGCAGGCAAAGAGCAAGTGCTTCCTTCTTCCGAGTCCTTTATACAGGCTGCCAACAGGAAGTGTAGCCAAGACTAAAGGTGGATCTTCCCTTTTTACAGTCTGCCAACAGGAGGTGTGGCCAAGACTAAAGGTGCATCCTCCCACCTCAAAAGATCTGGCTTAAAAGAGGCTCTTCTCACTTCAAATGATTTAATTAAGAAGAAATCCCTCATTGGTGTACCCAGCCACTTGGGTTTTAGTTAATTCCAGATGTAGTCAAGTTGACAACCAAGGACAGTCATCACAGGCCTTCTGAGGGTTGTGATGAACTGGGGGCTTGCAGCCTATTGCTTACACCAGTTTAAGTGGGCAATGGCCCTGAGACACACTTGCCTCAGTTACAGTCTCAGGAATGGTTGCCTTGGACTGCCCCCCCCATGTGTGTAACAGAGATAAAGTTGCAAGTCCCTCAGGTGCTTTCCTCCTGGGGAAGCTGTGAAGATACAAGAGGCTCCAGGCAGTAGAAAGGGCTTCTTAGCATCTGGGGTATTTCAGGAAGTGGAATGTGGTTTGGAAAGCATCTAGTCTGATGCTTCCACAGCTTCCAACAACAGCATGCCTGACAAGGCCACCCACAGCTTTTTGACAGTGCCCTGACAGGACAGGTGTCACCTTCCAAGGAAGCACAAAAGAAGTCATTACTAATGTGAAAGCAGATGGTGTGACTAGAGTAGAAAGAACTCTGGCCCTGGCACCCAACCACTGCTGCAAAATGGTCAAGTGAGCTTATACAAGTGACCCTCAGACCTCACCCTGCCTTTGGAGACGGCACGTCATGAAAGTTTGTTTTGCAAATTTAGAGCGGATTTTTCCTAGTCTTTAACATTCAATACTTTATTTGATCAACATAATTATGAGTCCAGCATAGACTGAATGGATTAAAGAAGTATTCCTAGCTCTCCCTATGTATTCCAGTTTGAAGGCTTTCTTTCAGTTGCCCCACACCTAGTACTAATAATTGGCATAGTTCTCATACATGGAGGTTTTTAGAACATTAGATTGTGTCCTACCACAGTTGGAAGATATTTTATGACCAATACGTAATCAAACTGAAAGGCACACAGAGTAGTAATCTTCTCTCTGGCTTCATTGACCAAGCTTAAACAAACCAATTTCTGCATTTTTGAGAATTATGGGCATGCCACAGATAGTATTTGATGATTGGAAGGGAAAAAAGTAAGAAAGGAAAACAAAACAGTTCTTCAGAATGTCTACTAGAGTCACATTTTGGTGTATATCCTACCAGAATTTTAAAGAAAATATGTACATAACCCTTGTTTTGCAGAAATATATATTACCACCAAGTTTTGTCTCTTGGCAATTTTAGCTCCCTTGCTAGTGTTGAGAGGTAACTCCACCATAGAACACACACAGACATTCTTAAAGCCCAACAGAAAGTCTGTAGCCAGTCAGTAGCCATATTGCACAGGGAACTTGCCCAAATCATGAAGCCTCACTGTTTTGTTTTTTGTTTGTTTCTTTGTTTTTGTTTTTCAAGGCAGGGTTTCTCTGTGTAGCTTTGGAGCCTGCCCTGGAGCTAGCTCTTGTAGACAAGGCTGGTCTCTAACTCACAGAGATCCGCCTGCATCGGCTTCCCAAGTGCTGGGATCAAAGGTGTGCGCCACCACCTCCCAGCGAAGCCTCACTGTTTTTTGTCTTTTATGCACAAACATCAATCCTAGTTGATATATTTTGGTTACCAAGAACAGTTAGCAAGAAGTCAAACTACAGAAGCCAGAAAGCAAGGTTAGTATATTTAGGGAATTTACTGGATCCTGAAACTATGGAGTAGGTCTTTGATGGATTTGGTCTTTGTTCCTATTTTGGCGGTTGTTGTGGCTTATGTGCTGGGTGCTAAGATCAGACTAGTGCTTTCAACATGGCATTTATTGTGCTAAGGTTGGGGACCTGTTACAATGGTCACAAATCAACAGCTTCATATTTTATTTTTAACAACTGCAACATAAGTTGTCAGTTTCTCATTTTCAGTTCAGAAAATGTCAGTCCTGTGTGCTGGACCCTTCTTTGTTCTGGACTTCACCTCTTGCCTGTTGATTGACATTCCTCTTTGCAAACAGGGAGAAAACATTATCTAATAACACTCTTTTCTTTCACTGTATTCGTTATGCATTCTATTTTAAAATTTTAAGTTTAAAGCACTTCAAATAATGTAGAGAATAATTCATAAACATGCATGTACTTACTTTCAGGTTGAATAGTACTAATATTTTTCCATATTTGTTTAAGATTGTGTTATAGTTTCTCTTGTAAGGCAGGTCAAATAACACCTAGGATGTGAGATTATATATATAAATAATGAAAAACTTCACTGTTGAGATGTGACCTTGCATTGTTACATTAACTGGTATGTGTGATATTGGGGCTTAGACTTGGCAGGGCAAGCTGTTGGGAATGGAGGATGTGGTTAGAAGCCTATCAGAACTGACTGGAGTCTATGCCATTCTCACTGCCTGCACCTCAGTGCATAAGGTGCCTCTGATCATAGACTTAAACATTTGCCTGGAAAGAAATCAGAGCAGGTACAGGCAGATCCAGATGAAAGATTGTTTGCAGGCCGAGATGCTGTACTGATGATTTGAACTAGCAAATACATGGCAATCAATGTGGAGCACAAAAGCACCCACCCCAACAGTTTTTAGCACAAAACCAAAAATATCTGCCCTTCCCATTCATACCTCCTCCCTAGGTCTTGCCTGTAACCTCTTTCTATGGTATCTTAGACAAGAACATCCTAGACAACAACTTGACTTTGTAATATTGTATGTATCTTTGCTAGTTCCATCTGTCAAATGGTAGCTGTATTGATAACAAATTGTACTTTTCTGT